ACAGGCCAACACCATCCGCTGGAAAGCGAACGCCCTCGACAAAGACTCCCTATGTGCATGCATTGAGGATGCCAAGATCACCGCCGAAATAGCAGAGGAGAAGACCAAGCAAGTCATGGATGCTGTAGCGAGGGCATGTGACGCGGCAATGAAAACCAGCACAGCATGCCTCGGCATACTGGTGGAGCGACACGATTGCTGAGCTTTGTGCCCATTGCAAGCACGTTAGGAGACTCGCCCAAAGAGCCCGAAAAAGGCCAACTTTCCCGCAACTGGAAATGGCCTTTAAGGAGGCACGGTCCCAACTTGTTAAAGCTATTAAGCATAGCAAGAGAGAGAGATGGATCAGGCTTATGGAGGAAGTTAACACCGACTTATTTGGGAGACCATATAGGGTTGTTATGTCAACGATCAAGACACAGTCCCAGCAGCAGCCCACTTGTCCAACGCAGCTAGGAGAAATCATTGCGGCGTTGTTTCCCAAGCAACCAGCGTAGGACTATCCGATGCCGCGGGACGAGAGTGAGGTAGTCCCTCCGATTACCCAAGAGGAATTACTCCGGGCCACCAGAAGTGTGGGAAATACTAAGGCGCCAGGGTTGGACAACATCCTCAACACTGCGCTAAATACAGCCATTGAAGCTGCTCCGGAACTATTCCTGGAGATGTACAACTCGTGCCTCTCAGAGGGAGCATTTTCGGTACATTGAAAACGACAGCAATTCGTGCTGCTCCCTAAAGGCAACAAACCGTCGGAGGAAGCTTCGTCGTATCGACCTTTGTGTATGCTGGACACAGCAGGAAAAATTTTCGAGAGGATTATCTCCAATCGAATCGATGCCTCTATCGGACATCGCCTCGCGGAAAACCAATAGGGTTTCCGGAAGGGCATGTCAACCATCGAAGCCATTGGTCGCGTGGTAGCCACGGCGAAGGATGCAATCTCCGGAGCGCGCTGGACCCGAGGAGCCAAGAAATACTGCTTGCTGGCTGCATTAGATGTCAAAAACGCATTCAACTCAGCCAGATGGGATAGTATATGCAAGACACTAGATCAACTAGGAACGCCAGCTTACGTGAGAGCGATGATCAAGAGCTATTTTTGCGGTAGGCGCTTGATGTACGACACCGAGAATGGTCCTGAGCATTATGAAGTCTCTGGAGGAGTTCCTTAAGACTCGGTCCTGGGGCCACTGCTGTGGAATCTGATGTATGACGCGTTGCTGAAGACCTAGCTACCGCAGGGAGCGGAGATGGTAGCGTTTGCCGACGACGCAGGGCTTGTCATTGCGGCTAAGACCTTTGAAGAGGTTAACTGCACCTTCGGAGAGGCATACGACACCGTAAGAGAGTGGATGCAGTCGGTCAGTCTGCAGCTTGCGCACCATAAAATTGAGGCCGTGCTCTTTACGAGTCGAAAGAAGGTCGAAACCATTACCCTGGACGTCAGCGATTGTGAAATCACGTCGCAACCCTACATCAGGTACCTCAGAGTGATGCTAGATGTAAGGCTCAGCTTCAAGCAACATATTGACAGCGTGACTGCTAAGGGTGCAAAAGTCGGTACGGCACGGCACTAGCGCGACTTATGCCGAATATCGGAGGGCTCAAGCAGGCGAGAAGAACACTGCTCGCAACAGTTATAACATCGATACTGTTGTACGCTACGCCGATTTGACACGAGGCACTTAAGGTTGCTTCATACCGAAGAGAAATAGTGTCGGTATACCGCGGAACTCTTCTGAGAGTTGCTGCCGGGTACCGCACCATATCGTACGAGGCAGTATGTGTAGTGGCTGGCATGCCACCGCTAGAAATTCTTGCAGACGAGCGAAGCAGGACCTACACCCGAGGTCGGCGGACTCCACTCGACAAGGAGAGCATTGCCAAGGAGGAAAAGGCAGCGTTACTACTGGAATGGCAGTAGCGCTAGCACGAGTCGCCTAAAGGCAGATGGACAAATCGTCTGATTCCGTCGCTTGAGGCGTGGGTGAATCGCACCATGGAGAGATAGGTTTCTATTTTACCTAGTTCCTAACGGACCATGGTTGCTTTCGGAAATATCTCCACCGTTTTAAGCGGGACGACAATGATGACTGCCGGCTTGCAACGTAGCCGAAAAGGCGGAGCATGTATTCTTCACGTGCTCACGTTTTAACATCGAGCGAGACCAGCTTCAGGAGCACCTCAACGAACAGATTACTCCAGATAATGTCGTGAATCTCATGCTCAATACAACAGATTCATGGAGTAGTATCGAGGACTTTGCAACGGTAGTCTTGAAGAAGTTGCGCGTGGAAGAACGGCAAAGACATGAGCCAGAATAAAACCTTAGCGCGGCCGTAGCAGATCCTTGGCCCCTCAAAGTAATGCCTGACGGCGGTCCCGCGGGATTAACACAAGGCAGGGACGAGGGGAGGTGGTTTTAGTGGGTAAAAATCCCACACTCCTAGGAAACACGGGTTACCTAGGATTTTTTTTAACATTTCCACCTACCCATGAAAGAAAAAAAAAAGAAGACACACACGTGTGGTGTCGTGTGTCGTGTCCCGTGTCTTGCGTCTCGTGTCCTGTCTACCGTATCTCGTGCGTCGTCGTGAACGAGCTTCGAGCCTCGTGTCATGACCAAAAGATTCTTCAATGAAAATTCCTCTGATCATTAATTATATGCTATGAAGTGGAGAATAAAGGATTAGGTTCAGGTGTAAAATAAAACACAAGATTGAGCCAAACAAAGAAACAATGCCTTTTTTTATTGGCTCGTCAGGGAAAAGCCTTACGGCATAAAAACCCTGGATGATGTTTAATTATAAAAATGAGAGTCCACCACGTGGTATTACCACGCGGGAAAATACCGTCAATATAAAATGTATATAATAGAAAGATCTCACCTCTCCCTCGCTTCGCTTACGTTCCTTAACTAATTTAGCTTAACTCCTTTGATTTCGATATGTATTCACAGGCTTTCTATAATGGACTGTAAGAATGTCCTTTTGTACTGGCCCAGCAGGGCGTACGGACTGGGAGTGAGAAGAGGGGAGGCGAGAGGTGGGGGTAACTAGAGGGGCGCTTCGGTAGTTACTAGTAGTTGATCGATGCTCACAATGAGTATCGATCTAGACTTTTAATCGATGGAGGTGGATGCGCGCGAATTTTGAATACTGCTAATTACCGTATGATCCTTTCGGATCGTACATACTCCCCCCATTGTTTTCAACCTTTCTCTTTCGGCGTGACATTGTAAGTCTTGCACGATTTTAAAAACGCGTCGTTCCGTTTCTGTTATTTCTGCGGTAGACAATTCTCCYTTATATGAGTTAGTTTTAAGCCATYGTCAGCATCGAGTTACAATTTTTAATAATCGCGTGTAGCTAGAGAATCGCTGACACATGCTTCTTGATTCAATTCACGTCGTTAATACCGATAATCTCTTTACGTCCGGCAATTAGAGAAATTCCCTTTCCATGCATCGTTCTTTTAGGAAATCGCGCGGAAGCATTCTCCTCGATAAAGCGTTCGCTGGGTTGTCYTCGGATCGCACATGTCGCCATGTGATACCTTCACAGATTTCTTGTATTTCGCGCACGCGATTTGCCGTGTATATTTTTAACGTACTGGAGTCTCTTTTCAGCCAACCTAGTACCATCATTGAATCGGACCAGAAAGTTATCTTGTCGGGTTTCACTCCGTCGGCGGTCCGGACTTCTCTATATAATCGCACGAGTGTCAATGCTCCGCCTAATTCTAAACGTGGTATGGTGGTGTCCTTAAGAGGAGCCACGCGACTTTTAGCGCAAAGTAGACGCACGCGTGTATTACCGAATTTATCTCGCGATCTTACATATAAGCAGCCGCCGTAACCAGATTGACTCGCGTCGCAGAAACCATGTTAAGTTCGAACTCGCGAATCCGTTCATTATGTCACTAAAATATCTGTTGATATTGGCGATCGTCTGGATGAATTCATGTATGTCGATAAATTTTCTCGATATCCGCGTTCAATACGTACTGATACGTTCGGAATCGTAACAAAAGTTTTACTACAGTATCTCGAATGATAGGTTCTACTAACAAAGTGTTGTTGAGAAATACATTTGATCATTTTTTCGCGGAAGTGTCGAATACGACCCATACCTTTGTTGTCATGCTGACTGATTTAATGACCGCGTAATGGGTAAGATAACAGCCTTCCGTAAGTTCGTCTTTAACATTCGACATACGTCTTAAATCGATATATTCCCGTATGATCCGTTCATATACCTTCCGGAGTTCAGTATTCGCGTGTAACTTCTTCGAGAGATTGTGGCATCGGCGTGAGGCTATACTACGTAAGTGACTGTGATCATGTCCTTCCTCGCGAGGATATACGCACCATGTATTTTCCCGATTCGCATCGTCTCGCATTTTAGACGTAATGAATTTCGCCTTCTATTTGTTTACTGAATTCGATCGCGTTATCTTGGGGACGATGAGTAGCGAAAAGTTCTGCCTATATTTATTATTTAGCGATTAGATGATTACCTCGATGACGATCATCGATCAAGTTCTGGTATCGTTGATAGCGTGAGTGGAAACCTAATATGGTATAATCTGTTAGCGTAACTCTCTCGTGACATTTTCGGCAATGAAGTGTGCGGTGACGCACGTATCTAAGAATGCCCGAAATTGTTCAAAGGTCCCGTTTCGTTTTTTCTAACACGGTACTTGGCGCTCATAAGGAATTGACTCGATGCGCCGCGCGCGTTACTATTAAAGATTGGTGTTAGTCATACGGGGGTAGGTTTGGTTTGAGATGTTGACTCGATCTCCTCCTTCACGGGGGTTATTATCTTCTGTTGATAATTGTTCATGTGTAATGACGTGTGATGGGTCTGGTTGCAGATTTGACAAYGTGAACTCTTACATGGATCTCCGTGCTTCCGTAAGCAATTTTGRCATAATCCGCAACGTTTAACTATYGCCAGTCTGTCTTGTCTCGTCAGGTCATGGTATCGGGAACATTAGTATAAAAGATGTTTGTCTCGTTTGCAAAGAATACACTTATTCGAGGTCTGAGTAAGAAACGTGCGCTTTATATGCGTCTCCTGTCGGTTTCGTGGCCGTAAAGTCATCGTATCAGTATGTCTACGTTTTGCGTGAGGCTCGTTTCCCGATGTCGATGGAATATTCGACGAAGCGACGCTACAGAGTGTGTACTTGTTTACAAAGTCGCAAAGCTGATTCATGGTCGGATAATTATCCGCATCTAACTGTTTGTCCCATTCTTGTCTAAGGTCGCGGGGTAAAATGCGTTCGCCAAGGCGTACCATCAGTGCGTGTGGTACATTGAAAGAAGTAATAGTATCCGAATGGGCCCGMAAGTCACCCGCAAGCCGTGTCATCTCTTCTATTGACATGCTTTTCGGCCGTAGAGTGTCTATGAAGGCGTCAATGGCCCGTGCCAGGAGTATGCGTTGCCGGTCGAAAGTTTTCAATAACATTTCCCACGCATTCTTATAATTCTGCCCGGTCGATGAATATGTCGCGATCGTTTGAAGCGCTCTACCGGTAAGAGACTCGCGGAGGTATATATGTTTTTCTAAATCCGACATGTCGGTACGCGCGTCTACCAGCGTCATAAAACTCCCCTTGAATTGGATCCACTTTCCGATGTCTCCGTCGAATTTCGGGATCTCGATTCGGCGTAATCGTATTTGCTGATCGCGGGTATTTGTAGCACCGTCGTCTCCATGTGAACCATTCGCGTTACTAACCGCGGCCGCATCGCCCGAGTCAATTTTGTCTCCGATCACGTGGTATCTTTCTATGAGTTGGTCTAGATCGTCGACTCCTGTCTCTCCAGCGCTGTTATTACAACACTGTTCATGCAATGATTCATACTCATCTACTTGTTTGGTAAGACGTGTGTAACGTCTTCTTAGTTCTATTACTCTTAAACTTCTTTCTTCAATTAAATTTTCGAAATACGTTAATCGCGATCCTAAATTCTGCCGCTTTTGTTCGAGCCGTTTTTGTGATGTCATTATGGATCGGTATCGTCTATTCTATTCCGCGAAAACTACTCAAATCAATTTATGGTAAATATAAAAATCCCCTTTATATGAATAAATGACCGCGCGTTGGGTTCTCGATCGCGTGGTACGGCCCTGAGGCTAGATCGTTGGAGGGGGTATACCTATGTATAGTATAAGAGGCCGTTGGAGGGGGTATACGTATGTATAGTATAAGAGGCCGATGGAGGGGGTATACGATTGTCGCTAGCTATATGCCGATAGATGAGATGTCCGGCGATGACGTCACGGTGTCTTCGTTCTAGTCGACCGTTCAAATAAAGGAAGGTGGCGTRGCGGTGAAGCCGCCGAAAATCTTATCGTTCTTTGTACGAGAATAAAGCGTTTTCCGAGATGGAGAATAACATTCGATTATATATAATGTATCCGTTCACATTTAGAAATTAAGTTCTATAAGTCTTTTCGATATTGAGATGTGAATTTTACATAGAAAATGAGCATAATGCATAGATATATAAGAAATTGCGAACTTCTACGGGGTTCGAAGACGCAATTTCCCTTGAGATATATATTAGTAAATGAGGGTGTGTACGCATAGGCGTACGCACGAGTAATTAAAAACTACTTATCTCGCTTCTAGATCTTTCGTGATGCTGCCTTCGCTGAACGGTGTAGATGTTTACAAGATGGCGGACTCCCTCGACTTCGTTGTTCTCTAATCGGTTTGCYCGGTGTGGTGATAGTCTATTCACTGCTTCGTAAATCAGAAGTCGGGAACTCGCACCTTACAGAATTGCACCAGAATGTTATGGCCGAAATTCCTCAACTAAGAGTCCTCTGGCAATTTGTTTATGCTATGAAGTGGAGAATAAAGGGTTAGGTTAAGGTGTAAAATAAAACACGTGATTGAGCCAACCAAAGAAACAATGCCTTTTTTATTGGCTCGTCAAGGAAAAGCCTTGCGGCATAAAAACCCTGGATGATACTTGATTATACAATAAGAATGCACCACGTGGTGTTACCACGAGGAAAAATACCGTCGATGTGAAATATATCGATATATATATATATTGGAAAGATCTCACCTCTCGCAATCCGTAAATATAGCGATCACAACCTTAAGGGTTGTGATATTGAATGGGCTCACTTTCACGAGTCTTGAAGATTAGGATATTCTCTTCGTTGTCCTTTGTGAATTCTTAAAGCCTCTATAATCCCTCAAGATGTGTAGTCGTAGGCGTCCGGTGAAGAATAGAAAGAATGCCCCTTTGTACTGGCCCAGCAGGACGTACGTATTAGGGCTATGAGAAGTGGGGATGCGAGAGGCGGGGGTAGCTAGAGAAGCGCTTCGATAGTTACTGGTGGTTGATCGATGCTCACAGTAAGTATCGATCTAGAATCCTAATCGATGAAAGCGGATGCGCGCGAGTTTCGAATACCGCTAATCACCGTACGATCCTTTCGGATCGTACACCTCGTTTATAAGGCTGGTTCACAAGGCTTTTTTACGAGACTCGTTCACGAGGCTCTTTTACGAGGCTCGTTTTCGAGGCTCGTTTTCAAAGATGAATAATGAATGATGAATGATGACCACTCTCTGCCACCGGTAGTGGAGTTCTGAGCCCCTGCACCGTAACCGGTACCACACCTGTCGTGTTCTCCATTTTTGGTTTATTATTCGGGGTTCCTTCCTCTAGTCTGTTTGGTCCGCGGGAGGAAAGTTCCTCCTACCTGCTATCTCTAACAGGCATTCCCTTATCCGTCAACTAGGGATGCGCTACCGAGGGGTTACAAACTTCCCCCCTCTGTGTGTGTGTGTGTGTGTGTGTCTCGTGTCGAAGACTTTATTTTTATCTATCTGTTTAACAATATATAAAAATCACAAACTAGAGAAAAATGTGTGAAATTAAGCAGAAAAACACGATAAGGAAGATTCCAGAGTTCAACGGAATGTGTTCGTGTATTTCGTGCACGCCAGAAGGCGTTAATTAATGTGCAGAATAATATCTTTAATGCGGGTAATAATGCGTTCACTGTTAGAAATAGAGAAAACGATCATCGTAAGTCATTAAATAGCTTCCAATCAATATATTTCTTTCTTAATCCTTTCTACTCATACTAGACAAGCATAATCTCAATAGATCACTTTTGTAACATTATTTTTTATTTTCTATTCAGATGATTCGCAATTGGATATTGTGAATTGTGTTTCAAGTGTCTCTCGAACAGTGTTGTGAAAATCTGTAGAAAGAAAATATTAGGGAAGTTTTAAAGAGTTCGACGGAACGCGTTCGTGCATTTCGTGCACGCAGAGAGGTGTTTAATTACCATACATTATTTTGTTACCATAAGCAACTCGTCTCATTTCTTCAAATTAAGAACTTGCTTACTGTGTAATGTGTTATGTATTATATGTCAATAAAACGTAAAATAATTTTTGAATGTGGTAACAATATTATAATAATAATATGATAATAATAATGTTATAACAAATAAACCCTACAATTATCCTACACCTGATATTTTGCATTCGTCTCATTCTCTCGAAACTTAGTTTTTTGTAGGTTTCACTTCTAACACGTGTGATCTGCACACATTTTGTTTTGTTTTCTTTTGTTCGATGAAATAATTATGTTAAATATTTATTATAAAAATATAATATAAGAATCTAAATATAATTCGATAGTAAAATATTATTAAATGGTATTTTTATTTTGATATGAATGTCTATATCTTGTAATCAATTATATAACGAAATTATGTGCAACGATTCTTATTTAAATTTCTTCGCTCCTGAATGGTTAATCTCGATATAAATAAATAATCGTGTCGAAGGATCAATAAAAGACGATTGAAACATTCAGGATTCAGGTATTCCTGTATTTCGTTCTTTCATTTCTTCCGTCATTATAGAGTAATGTTTAACGAAGTTAAATTCAATTTCGTTTAAACGCAATTTCCTGAAAGTTTAGCAAGAAAAAAGGAAGTCAATGCGCTTGCAAAGATCTCATGGATCGTTAAACGTTCATTTTTTTGTATCTACGAAAGAAAGTAACTTTTATATTATATTTCCTCGATAAACAAATATCAATTCGGTTTATTTAATTATTTTTTATCATTCATTTTTCCCACAATTTATAAAAACTAAGGGAATTATAAAATTTGATCATATTTAATAATCCATAAAATTCGTTATTTCATCTTTGATCCAGGTTCTAACAAATTTAACTATACGACCAAAAATACCTTAGAAGTTTATTAATATTAACACGTAGGGGAATTTTCAGTTGAACTATATGCGGAACCGCAAAGATTTCATGGTTTTTATTTCCATCATATAGTTTTTAATATACAATTATCAGAGAGGTTTTCTATCAGATTTTGTAGCTACGTATTTCTTAAATAAACATCTGAAAATCTCAATTACGCAGATTTACATTGTCTGGTTCCTAAATACCCATTAGATATATATATAGTAGGGTGGGTCAAAAAAATGACTTATTTTTTTTTGAAGTGCCACAGATAAATAGGTTGCTAGACACCTTAAAACAATTTTCACCAAATATGAGCTCTTAATTTTAATAGGAAGATCCTCCGCATCGCAGTTTTTTATTTTCTTTTCAGTCCAATAGATTAAAATTCATACCTCATTACTTATTGATTGTACAGAAAAATGTTCTAGACGAATTTTGTAAGAAATTTAATGCTCTACAAAAAAGATATCTTATATTTTTTCCGTTAACCTCACTATTTGAATGATATTGAAGATTTAAGTTTGATTACTTTAAGACGAATTTCATTTTTGTTGATGAATTTTATAACTAAACAATGAATGACTATTATAAAATGCGCAATACAAATTTTTGTAGGAAATTAACTGCTCTATAAAAATGGTGTCTTATGTTTTGGCGATTAAATTAAGCGTTCAATAGATATTCATTATCAAACTTTCATGTGTACTGATTTTTGTCTCTGAATATCTTTTGAACGCTTATATCATAAGGTGGAAGCACGTCTTTACTCAATCAGCAGTAGAAAAGGAATAATCGAATAACGAATAACGAATAAACCAAAAGAAAAATATTTCGTCGCCAAGCACTTAAGATGCAGCTGCCCCTTGGTAGGGATAAAGAAAACAAAATTAAGAAGGACCGCCCATCGATAGAACAAAACACTCTGTGTCCCACACTAGATATCGGATATTATTTATATACATAAAAGTATCGATTTCATTTTGTAGATAGGGTAATATAAACGCAGAATAAAGAATACTGCGTAGAATTCAACACAATTCAATAAAATATTTAAATTGAAAAATAAACGTAGATTCATTCTGCGTGTAAATTATTATCAATTTTATTTTGCTTTAATTATAACCCTCACGTTTAATATTTTATATAAATATAATATAATAAGCAATTACTTTGATAAGCATGTCATCACAGTTTTTCATATTTGACAAATAAATTATTTTTAATGGTAGGAAGAAAAAAAGAAAGTGAGAAACTGAAGCGTCCTTATGTGAAAGAGATAAACACAGAGATATGCGAATACATATGCATTTCTTTATTAATATTATTATCCAAGGTAAATTCTAAAACAAGAAGTCCGGTTGATGTCAATAGACAGTCCAAAATGAGAAGAATGTTACTACAGTTACGATCGTTATTGATGAGCAAATATAAAAGCACAATAATCACAGAAGCAACATACGTAAGGTAAACATGAATTACATTCGAAACAGTTAAAAAAAAAAAAAAAACGTATCAAAGGGAAAAATTTTAATAGCATTTTGAAGAGCTAACCTGCGATTGATTGCCGATAAGTAAGTAAATTAATGATACGATTTAAGGTAAAACTCAGTGAATGGCGCCTTAATTCGAGTATAACATTTTGACGATATGCGTCCGTATCAGATAACCGGCTCGAGAACTCGTTTGTTGTAACCAAAGATATGATCTTTGATAAATAGCTATAATAAAGTGCAGAAGGGAATGAAGTAATAGACAAAC